ATAGAAAGGCCTTGAACTTCTCTATCAAATGAGTATCTTAGCAATTAACACATAATGACAAAATCTAAAACGGTAGCATTTCTAAAATTCTCACCGAGAACTGACCAATACTGACTACTGTCTGATTGTCGAGTTTTTACATGATTTGATAAAGTTATCTGTCCTCTTTTGAATACTGAAAACTGGAGGTCACTAGCTACTTCTTTGCCTAAGTTATTTGGAATACAACCAAGCCTATTGTATTTTTCAATCAACAGTAGTTTCTATTACTTGTTTCCCAATTATATATAGGAATACCACTGGCATAAGCTTGCAAAACCATTTTCACAGGAAACCATTGTTCTAAAGGTTCACCATTAATATTTGATGCCCAATACCATTCTCGATGTTGAACTGTATTATTTGGTAATGATTTTTCACCAATCCATACATGACACCAAACACGATCACGACATTGTTTTTCACCAGTATATTGATATGTAATATCATCCATTAAAAATACATGTTGTGGTGAACCCATCTGTACTAGATTTGGTTTTCCATCCACTACCACTGCATCATTAAACCCAGTGTTTATATCACGAACAGAACATTGATGTATTGTATGATTGTATTGATAACTGAGACCAGTTGCAAAATCATGTATTTCAGTGTAATGTAACCAACGTGGTCCACCGAATGGATCAGGATACCATAGATCAATACGACTGAATTGATATTCAGTATCATGGAGATTATGTGTACTAAAAATTGAGCTATTCGCTTGTGTTATGAAAGCTTCTGAATTTGAGCTAACTCTATCAGGAATATCTTCTGGTACAGCTAATGTAGACGTTCGATTTGGACAATATACACCTGCTGGCGTTTCCAATGCTTGACGTTCTTCTCGACGATTAGGATTTGGTGTATAACGAAATACATTATATTTATATGCTTCTTGTCGACCACTTTGATTTCTTATTTGTACATCTATTTGTAATATAATACTTTCATTTGCTAGTAAGCCAGCTTGAAATTTTGTTGCATCCGATATATAATATGTTGCTGATACTGTTGCTCTAATGTCAGGTACATCAAAACATGATTTGAATTTATTCGTAGGAATACCACGTAGATCTTCATCACCAATATATTGATTACCCCAAAGTGAATTTATTTGATTACGAGGATCGAAACCAAGTAAAATTGATGGTTTAATCATAAGTGTATTTGGTTGAATAACACTAGTTTCTGATGTAGGTCCAATCACTTGACGAAGACATGTTGGTCTTGGTTGTTGATTAACAATAGCAGTTAGAATCTCAAATTGCTCATTAGTAACAAAATTCCAATAGAATTGTATTGATCCTACAAGAGAAGAATGCAAAAATAAAAGTTGAGTATAGTATAAGAAGAAGAATGTGTACTAACCATATCTTGAATTTGTCACAATCGCATCACGTTGCATTGAAAATGCTTGTGAAAGTTCCATTGTTTCGTTTCCCGACACCAGTTCGGTCATAATCTCAAATCTTGATGGAACTTTCCTCCATTTTGGATCGGGACTAGTCGTAGGTCCATTATTACACCACTGTAGATTTTCTTGTCCACAAATGATACTTACCAATGCCAAACTAATAAGTATTAGAAATGGTCGTAGTTGTCGCATATTGCTTGTATCTTTTGAGTCTTATTATTTGAAAAAGTATGTTGAATAATATTTTCACAATAATAATAACTCCTCTAAGTTAAGTTGTATGATAAGAAAAAGAAAGATTTTTGTTTGCTTCCATTATCTTTCTTTGATAAGTGCGACATTCACTGGTAGTAACACTTCTTCTTTTCTTGTTTAGCTCGCCATTTTGTGTGTAGACGAAACCGACTGTGCACTCCTATCTATTTAATAATAATATTTTCATCTCGCATCACCTACCATTTACTCATCTATGTAAAGGCTCTCGAAAAAATAAAAAATAAAAGAAAGAACGCATAGCAACTTGAATCGGTGCACTGAACTTTTTTGCATCATGTACCATTGAATCACACACAGAATAAAAGAATGAAACGTCGCGAACATTTTAATACCAAACTAAAGGTATTTTAATCGCATTTCGGGATTCCCGCTTTTCGCCAATAAGTGGCGAAAATCTGGGGGGGGGGGGGCAGGTGTATTGGCGAAAGTTCATTGAACTTTCTCCAATTGACGAATGTTCAGAGCATGAATTGGCGAAAGTTGAATGGATGTTCGCCAATTGATGCAGAACAAGATGAAGGCGACACATATGCGAGAACTATGCCTAGTATTATTAAAATGTACCGTGATGTATACACTTATAAATGCATTTGATACCAATCTGTCTAATCAATGACAGATCTACATTCAAATTGGCGAAAGTTCGATGAACTTTCATCAATATTGGCGAAAGTGTAGGTGTACATTGGCGACAGTACAGAGGGTGTACTGGCGACAATCCAGTGGACTTTCGCCGATGGCGAAAGTCCGGTATGCGAAAAACTTATTGGCGAAAATCGGATAAGCCCGCATTTCATGAATTGTTTCTATACACCGACTATGATTGGTTTACGGTACCTATACGTGGTACAACTGATGGACCATTGGCAAAGTCCTTGACAAAAAATAATAAAACCAGGGAGCTTGTTTGACGGAGCATTAGAGACATCATGGCTCACATTATACTTTGAACAATCGAATTTCTTTCCCGACGAACCATTTCCCTAAGAAGCCCTAGATGGTGTGGGTGTCGGTGCGAGTCACGTTTTCTGTCACAGTCACACTCAAACCTACACATAACCTGCACCTACATCCGTACTACCCACACTCAGACCCACACTCCCGGCCATACCCGCACTCATACCCACACCCTCACACTCACACCCACACTTATACCTATACACCCGCACTCACATCCACACTCTCAAAAGCGCACCCACATTCTGAACAGAATGAAATGGTAATATTGATAACGTTCGTAGATTAAACATAGGAAGAACATCTAATATTTCATTATCTTCAAATATTTGACAAATCATATGAAAAGAGGAGAGTTCAGATAATTGTGGTAATGATGTTTGCAATTTTTCTGTATTTTATTTTTTAACTTGAACTAATGTTAATGATTGAAGATACGAAAATTCATTGAAAGAAAATATTGATAAAAATGCATCGATTTGACCAAATGCATCTTTATTTGATAATTTTAACCCTTTGAGTACTGGATTATTTTTAAATAACAAAAACTATTACCAGGCTTCCATAGGTTTTTGAGCTAAGGACAGGATATGTGTAGGTTCATTTAGAAAGACTTTCTCTATTTAGTGATATATAGATTATCAAGTTGTATTGTGTACCCATAATTGCATCAAATTTGTCTCAGTTCTGCAGAATTCTGATTTTAGAATAATATGCTACAAGTTATATTGTACAGAACCGATCTGAATCTATTACAATTATGGATGTACAACGAAATTTGATAATCTGTATACCATTGAATAGAGCAAGTCTTGCTCTACAAACCTACATATATCTCCATTCTGGGTCAAAATTACTGCGAAACTTATAGCCACCTTTCAAACCAACGTTTATTTTTAAAAATAGGATAACCAGTAAAGATCAGTTAGTATAGCTAATTTTCATGGCAAAAATATCCTAAGCCCAAATACTCATCAATTCATATTATTAAATAATCAACAGACATCATGCTTTTAAAAGTGATTCAGGTCTTAGAATTTCAGGACGCGAATTCGCGTCGCCCGTACTCAGAGGGTTAATGAATAAATTTGATTTTCGATTTCAGGATTTGATTATATTTTTGTACAAAATTTATCAAATATTGGTGTTTTGTACATTTTCAAAATTTAGCTGGAATTGAATATTTCGAATAAATTTAGAAAAACGATTATTTAATTGATCAAATAAATAAAATATATCAATTACATTCAGATATTCAATGCATATGAATAGAACTTTATTGAGTAAGAGTTCAAGAAAGAAACAAAGTAATTATGACTTACACATTGAGAAGAGAGAACGCATTCTGCGCAAAAGATTCACTATTTGTTCTCTAGATTGAAAAAAAATGTATTTATAACTTTATGTTCAAATGTATTTCGTTAGATCAAAAGTTTTCAAAAATGTTTTTGGTAGCGAGAAATTTTTGATCATCAATAGATGACATCTGCATTGAATGTTTATTCGTCTTCACTAAACTTATCTTATGGGAATGATTGGCAAGCTGACATTGTGCTTTCTATTCAGCTGAAATATGTGGAAACCAGAGACCGAATTGAACCCGGGTTTTACTGGCTCGAGGTCGGTACAGTTTGGGTTCACTTTTAGAAAACTATTTCGAATTCGGTTCATCTTCGGTCTCTGTATCAGACGACAAATAGAAAATTTTCTTTATTAGAAATGGAAGAAAAATTAATCATTTGCTCATTACAAATGACTTTTACTGTTATACAAGTCATCTGCTAATTTTTTTTGTATTTACATGCTATCTGTCCTGAATAAAATTTGGTGGTCCTCCATTTTTTCTTAACAATTATGACATTTCTGAATAACAGAACAGTAACATTGACTCACAATGTGTGAGTGAGTAAATGGTATTTTTCCTACCATTATTATTTGTCTTTAATTATACTTTCATAAAATCAGTTTCTTATCTTTAATATAATTTTATTTTCTGAAAGAAAAGCAAGAAAATATAAATCTATCTGTATTAACATTTTCTGAACTTAGATCATCATACAAATTATCGAGCGATATTTTTAATCAAACTATTCCACACACTACATAAAAATGTGTCGCATGTGTCGTGGTTTGCGACACATTGTACGACACATTGCAGTACGACGCAAGGAGCTCACTGCGACACATTTTCTCCAGCGAGACTGCGACACATTTTGTACGACACATGCGACACATTTTCTATTGGTTCTTTTCGAAAGGCATAATTATTTCCATTTTTTTCTGTTCAATATAATTCCATTGAATTATTTCTATGATGAAAACTCTAGCAGGTTAGATTCTGAGATCTCTCCTGCTTCGAGTTGATCTGATTTGCATCAGACGACTCCAATGTAGTCCTTTCTCGATGATGACTCGAGATTGGCATTTTCTCGACAAAGACTATCGAGAAATAATTTAGAAAAAAAGAATATTTTGAAAATTCATCTTTCTTACGTTCAACCACGTTGTTTATATATCGTCATGACTGCATAATAAAAGGGTGAACGACTAGTTAGCAGACAGAACGCGAAAAATTTGTATGCGACACATTCTGTGCACGACACATTTTTCTGCTGGAGTGCACGACACAATAATTCACGACACATAAACACAACGCATTTTAATTTAGTGTGCATTGGCGCATAAGTTCTGAGAGTTTGGATCAGTAGAATAATATCGC